CTTGCTCTGGGCATCAGAAGGAACAAAGGAATAATATATCTTTCATGGTTACAAAATAACACTTTGGAGTTACCAAGAACTTTCACATTCATTTATTAGATACTCACAAAACCCCTGAGAAGAGGGCAATGGAAATATCATATCACTCCCCCCTTTTTTTTCAGATGAGAAAACTAAGGCCCAGAAAGGCTAAATAGGCTACCTGAGATCACACAATTAAGTCTTGGCTGCTAAGTGCTCAACCTTCCTTTGCAGATATTCATCCCTAACAGCTAACAGCTAACATTTATATGTGCGCCTACTATGTGCCAGGCTAAGCCCTTTACAATTATTATCTCATTTGATCCTCACAACAACCCTGTGAGGTGGGTGCTATTATTCCCCCCATTTTAGAGATGAGGGTAAACTGAGGTAAATAGAGGTTAGGTGACTTGCCCAGGATCACACAGCTAGTAAGTTTCTGGGGACAAATTTGAACTCAGGTTTTCCTGACTGTAGACCCGTGCTCTATCCACTCCGCCACCTAGTGGCCTACCACTTCCATCCCTATCCCGGCAGGAGCCCCCAGAATTGCAAACCTTCAGGCCAAGGATTTATTTACAGGATCATATATTAAGACCTAGAATGATATGAATAAATAAATGTATGAAAGAAGGAAGGAAGGAAGGAAGGAAGGAAAGAAAGAAAGAAAAAGAAAGAAAGAAAGAAAGAAAGAAAGAAAGAAAGAAAGAAAGAAAGAAAGAAAGAAAGAGAAAGAAAGAAAGAAAGGAAGAAAGAAAGAAAGAAAGAAAGAAAGAAAGAAAGAAAGAAAGAAAGAAAGAAAGAAAGAAAGGAAGGAAGGAAGGAAGGAAGGAAGGAAGGAAGGAAGGAAGGAAGGAAGGAAGGAAGGAAGGAAGGAAGGAAGGAAGGAAGGAAGGAAGGAAGAAAAAGCATTTATTAAGCATTTACTAAGAGCAAAGCTCCGTACTAAGTGCTGGGTATAGAGCATGACAGTCCCTGCTCTCAAAGAGCTCACATTCCAACAGAGGAGACAATACATATAAAAGGTTTCAATGGCAAGTCAAATGGAAAGTGCCCATGGTTCTGACAGTGCAGCAGCAAAACAGATAGTGATTCATCTTCCTTAATGTCATTTCCACTGATAAAATCACATCAGTTTCTGATGTCAAGCCATTTAAGAGTGACAAGGACTTTGACGGCAAGAACACTCTTTCCTTTCTGGGTCTTCAGTAGCTGTGGCTGGGGTACCCCCCCACCCCCCCACCCCCACCCAAGCACCTCTGAGGCCAGGCGCCCAGAGGGGATGCTTCTCCAGAGGTGGCTAGAAACAGAAGCAGTGGTCTTGGAGATGCTGCCACTCCCAGGGCTCCCAGGCTTATCTGACATCTGGTGATAGTTAGTCACTAGTTGGCATTGGTAGTGGCAAAGAAAGTGGACCCCTTCCCCACAGAGATTGTTCCCCTCTGTAGAATTGGGAGTGGGAGAAGCGGAACAAGCCTTTGTTTAGCACCTACTATGTGCCGGGCACTTTGCTAAGCTCTACAAATATTATCTCATTTTCTCAATGGAGAAAGCAATCAAGATGATCAATAGCTTCCACAAATAAGATACAAAATAGATACAAAGTCCTATATACAGTACTAACAACCGCAGGAGGAAAAAAAAAACAAGAGAAAGTTCATTTTTTAGAAACTGCAAAAAGACTAAAATGTCTATACCTTTTGATGCAGAGATTCTACAACAAGGCATATATCCCAGAGAGGTTATTGATAAAAAGAAAGATCACACATATACCAAAGTATTTATAGGAGCACTTTTTGTGGTAGCTAAACAAAGAAGGTGCCCATTGATTGGGGATGACCGAACAAATTGTGCTATGTGAATGTAATGAAATGGTACTGTGCTATTAGAAATGACAAATATAAGCATAGGAAAACATTGAAAGTTTACATGAACTGATGCAGAGTAAAGTAAGTAGAGCCAAGAAAACCATATGTGCAATAACTACAACAATGCAAATCAAAAGAACTAACACAAAATAATCTAACGAGAATATTGCAAAATTACAAAAACCAAGCATGGCCCCAAAGAAGAGATATAAGAAAACATCTCTCCCTCTTCCTTTGCAGAGGTGAGAGGTCAACTAATACGGAACATTGCATATATTTTCAGACTTTTTTGATGTATTGATTGGTTAGGCTGATTGTTTTTTCTCTTCTTCCTCTTTTTCTTTTAAAAAATATCTTTTGCAGGGGCAGCTAGGTGGTGCAGTGGATAGAGTACCAGCCCTGAAGTCAGGAGGACCTGAGTTCAAATTTGTCCTCAGACCAAACACTTGACACTTACTAGCTGTGTGACCCTGGGCAAGTCACTTAATCCCAATTGCCTAAAAAAATAAAAGAAAGAAAAAATATCTTTTGCTATATGGAATGACTCTTGAGGTGAGGGTAGAGGGATAAACTCAAGGGGAAAACTTAGCTACATGAAAACAAAAGATATTAGTAAGAATTTCTTTTTAAAAATTTTGCACCTGCAAAAAGCATAAACTATCTGAGAATTACCCTACTAAGACCAAGACAAGACTTATATAAACATAACTATAAAACATTCTACAGCAATAAAAGAAGACAAATATTAGAGAGATTTCTCATATTCATAGCTGGGCCATCCCAATATACCAGAACTTACAATACTATCTAAATTAAAAACTGCATAGAGGCAAATTTGAACCAGATATCATGAAAAACTTTCTAATAATTGGATCTACCCAAAGGTAGAATGGACTATCTAAGAGGTGATCATCTCTCCCTCCTTGGAGGTCTTCACAAGAGTCTAGATGACTAATTGGGTATTTCATAGTAGGGATTCCTTTCATGTGTGGGATAGACTAGATGGCTGCTGGGGTCACTTCCATTCTGTGATTCTATAATTTACAGTTAAAGTGCTCTACCTATCAAACCCATAGTTTACTTACCCACATTATAGTGCTATACCCAATTACCCACAGTAATTACTTCAAAGAATTCCATAGTAAGAAATAACATTCCATCAAAGGAAACAAAGGTCAAATTTTTCTTTTTTTAACAGTTATTTTTTTTTGGTCTTTCCACTTAATAGCATTTTATTTTTTCAATTACACGTAAAGATAGTTTTAAACATTCATTTTTATAAGATTTTGAGTTTCAAATTTTTTTCTCCTTCTCTCCCTTTCCTCCCCCTTTCCCAAGACAGCAAGTAATCTGATATAGGCTGTACATGTACAATCATATTAAATATATTTCCACATCAGTCATGTTGTGAAAGAAGAATCACCACGAGAAGGAAAAAACAAAAAAAGTGAAAACAGTATGCTTTGATCTGTATTCAGACTCCACAATTCTTTCTGTGGATGTGGATAGCATTTTCCATCATGAGTCTTTCAGAAATGTCTTAGATCATTGCATTGCTGAGAAGAGCCCAAGTCTGTCAAAGTTGATCATCACACAATGTTGCTGTTACTGTGTACAATGTTTTCCTAATTCTGCTCATTTCACTCAGTATCAGTTCATGTAAGTCTTTCCAGGTTTTTCTGAAGTCCAAAAGGTCAAATTTTTCAAGGGAAGGAATGAAAAGAGATATTAGGCAAGGCCTAGGTTAATCATATTTTAAATGATTAGAAATTACTAATCGTTACAACTATTTGGTAATGGCCTTTGCCATTAACAATAAGCTGTGGGGGTAATAACTACCAAAATATACATATCCTTTTGAGGTTTGTAAAATGCTTTGGATACATTGTCTCATTGGAACCTCACAGAAATTTTGTACACTACAGCAATCGCTGGTGTTCAGCTGTGCCCAACTCTTCGCGACCAAATTTTTAGGGTTTTCTCAGCAAAGATACTGGAGTGATTTGCCATTTCCTTCTCCAGCTCATTTTACAGATGAGGAAACTGAGGCAAACAGGGTAAAGTGGCTTGCCCAGGGTCACCCAGCTAGTATATGATTGCAGCCAGATTTGAATTCAGGTCTTCCTGACTCCAGGACGGGTGCTCTGTCCTGCAGCTATCATTATCTACTTTATAAATCAGGAAAACTGAGAATCAGAAATATTCAATGATTTTTCTGCTGGTCACACAGCTACGTTAGCTCATTTTAAGCTGAGGCTTAGAGAAATAAATTGGTTTGCCTGAAGTCACCCAGTTGGTAATTGGCAGTGTCAGGACTTTGAATCTAAGTTTTTTTGACCATTAATTTGCCTCTCATTTCGCACCCGGCTACACTACTTTGGGATATCTCTGACTGACTTCACCATGCTCTAGCCTTGGGTACCCAATGCCTCCCCCCCTCCTCATTTCTCAGCTTCCTTTTGTGTGTGTGGGTCTTCCCCCATTAGATTATAAGCTCCTATTTGGTATTAGGAGGAGGGGGGACCACCAATTCATCCTGAACTCCTGAGAGACACCAACAGTTTGACCCTGGCATCAGAGAGATGCTGTCTCTCAAACGTGTTTCCGCCGCAAAGCTAGAAGCTGGTTCTGGCCACAGATGGTAAGTAGGCTGGCTGTTGTCCTCACCGTGACATCTTTCAACGTAATCAGTACCAGGCTTCACAACCAACCCACAGATGAGGAAGGGTCTGATGTACCAGGGCCTACCAGACAGAGGGCATTTGGGGCATGTACAAGGGCATGGGCGCCTCCTACTTCCACTTTGACACCCATACCATCCTCTCACTCTTCTTCTGGGACCAGCTTCAATTCCTTTACCAGAAACATAATCAGTGATTCCCCCCCAACTCCAAATTTTCCATCAACACACTCCATGTTGGAAGGACTGCCTTTCTCCCCCTCGATCTGATATATCCTGGACCCTTCCCTACTTTTAGGTCTTAATGACTGATAATCACTTACTCACCCTGCCCCTCACACCCTTTTTCTCACAGTTGAATCACTATGTAGGGCACTCCCTCCCATCCTACCATCACTCCTGCCATCATACACAGCTTAAAACCTCTCACTCTTACTCTCATGGTTGAATCAATCAACGGCATATTTTCTTCTTCCTTTTTTTCTTTTCTTTTTTTGGATATTTTCTTCTTGCCCAGACTGCTAGGTTCCAGTTCCCATGCACAGCTTTAAATCTCATTCCCCCCAAACCAAAAGGGATTGGAGGGGCCGTTCTTCATCCTTGCCACTAGATTCAAAATGTATAAACGCTTCTTCCCTCTCGCCTCCACCAAAGCCACAGAGATTGTATTGGTATAAAGCAGGTTTATTTCTAGAAAAACAAACAAATAAACAAGATTACAAGCTTCTTGTGGGCAGGAATTGTTTCTTTTTTCACATTGTTTCATATCCCTAGCACTTAGCACAATGCCTAGCAGTAGTGGGCTCTTGATAAATGTTTATTAACTCTTAACTAAATCCAGGCATCTTAGATGAGGCCATATTGAAATGAGGCCTCCACAGAGACTGGATGAGCTGAGGTCAATTAACACTTTGCGTCCCCTGACATAGCCATTGGATATTGGATTTGACAGGAACAGAGGGTTGCTGGGGCAGCAAACTGACTGTTCCAGAGAAGGATGAGAATAGAAAGAAAGGGAGAGAGATGGCTTTTCACGGGTCTTCTTGTCAATAGGTTTAGGTCCCAGACTAATATCTTCCTTCACCTTTTTCATTCTCTGCCTCCCCCTCCAAGACCATGGCAGGAACTTTATGCTAATGGGGCCCCCAAGAAAAGCCTTCCTCCTGAGCTTGACCTCAAGGTAATCTTGGGCTCTTATAGCCTTTGCCAGGAGATTCTAGCAAGCTGGAAAGCCATTGAGGGCAGGCCCAGTCAAAAACAATGCATCCATTGTCCAAGTACTGGCTTAGCTAAGAGGCTCATTCAGGTGATATATTCCCAGTCATGGTGACATGTGGGGGCCCTAGAAATAGTTACAGGGTACATGAAAAACTAAAAAATTGGGTCATGAAGGTGGGTGCAATGCCAGTAAGGGCCCTGTATACCCCCATGGGGACAATGCCCCAAATGCCCCTTCATGGCTAAAGCCCTTCTCCTCTACCGGTCCCCAAAGACAGCACTACTGAGGGTTAGAAAGAACTAACTCTGGGGTGGAAGGTTTAGTAAGGGGGAGTAAAAGATAAAGGTAATCCAAGGACCCATGCATTAAAAAAGACTAATGAGCATTTGTCAATAATAATAAGCATTGTCAATAAGCATTTGTAATAATTATAGTAAATCATATTTCTAGGAGGCCTTCAGTTTTTCAAAGAATTTCCCTCACAACAATCCTATAAAATAGGTGGTAATAATGATGGACAGTCCCAGTACTGACAAACAGTTCCTCCAGACTCCTGCCCAAGGAGTCTTGGCCAGGAGTAAAATTCCTGTCTCCCCATCTCTTTTTTTTCCCCAGACATTCAAATTGGAGTTTCCCTTGACTGATTTCCCCCTTTCTTCCTCTTATCCATAGTGAAACAGCTGCTGGAATGTAGAGATTAGTAGAATCTTAACTCCCCTTCCACATAGGCCTCAGCTTAGTCTCAGCTCAGCCTCCACACAGGCCTCAGATTGGCCTTAACCTAGCCTCCACACAGGCCTCACCTTGGCCTCAGCTCAGCCTCCACACAGGCTTCAGCCCAGCCTCCACACAGGCCTCAGCTTGGTCTCAGCTCAGCTTCCACACAGGCCTCAGCTTGGCCTCAGCTCAGCCTCCACACAGGCTTCAGCCCAGCCTCCACACAGGCCTCAGCTTGGCCTCCACACAAACCTCAGCTTAGCCTCCACACAGGCCTCAGCTCAGCCTCTGTAGGGGCCCCAGTTTAACTCCAACTTCCCCCCTCTCCCCCCAGGACTCAGTTTGGCCTCTGCAAAGGTCTCCATTCAGCATCCTCAGTCTGGAAGACCATCTACTGAGGCTGTAGCTCTGGGAATGGTCTTCTTAGCAGAATGTAAGAGGGCAGAGCAAGACAGGACTTATGGGGGGTGGGGAGCATGTTCCCTCTTTAGGGAGAAAAAACCCTTCTACTGGGAACAGCAGCCTGCTCTTTGGGTTAGTTTCCCCAAAGGAAGGATAAGCGGGGAGGTTATTAGAGTGGCAAGAACAGGAGAGCCCAGGGTCTCTATTCCCCTGAGGCAGGATGACATTAGAGTAAACAAGACTAAAACTTAACTTCTTCGGGGGGGGGGGCAGCTAGGTGGCACAGTGGATAAAGCACCAGCCCTGGATTCAGGAAGACCTGAGTTCAAACCTGACCTCAGACATATAATACTTACTAGCTGTGTGACACTGGGTAAGTCACTTAACTCCCATTGCCAAACAAAAACTTAACTTTTCCCCCCAATTCTTTCCCCTAAAATAACACACAAATGAGAGGTTTGGAGGGGGATAAGGGTGGTTCTGAGCAGGACCTGGAGTTTTCAGCAGATCTACAGGACTATGGACCCCAAACCTTCCCTGTTTCTCACATATCCCCCTCCTCCCAACTTCTTCCCTTCCCCCCTCTTCACCCCAGCTTCTCTGCGAAACCAGGCTCAGTAGCCTTGGGGGGAGGGGGCAGAAAAAGTGACCTATGCGTAGGCAGAAGGAATCCTAGGGGAGGTCTGCAAAGGGGTGATGGCTGGAGAGAAAGGGAGCCTATGAAAGAAGGAAGGAGTCTATGGGTAAAGGGCTGGGAGTGGGGGGGTGGGAGAGGCAGACTTCGAGGGGAGGGATGGGGGTGGGGGTGTCTGTGGGAAGGGGGAGCTTTAGGTGTGAGGAGAAGGTGGGGGTCTATGTGTGTGCAGTTAATTAAACAGTGATGAAGACGATCCAGAGGAAACGGCTGCTTTCTAATTAAAGGTGTGGGTGCCTTGCTTGGTGAAGGCAGAGAACAGGAGAGATTCTGGAATTGAGTCAGAGAGCTGGGGGGAGAAATAGGGGAGGAGCCCCCTCCCCCTCAGCCTTGAACATCCTTCAGACCAGGCCCACACAGCTGGGCCCCTCACCCCTCGTGGCTTTCCTATTTCTCCTACCCATCCCAGGGGCCTGGGGAACTTCCCCTACTGCCTGCCTCCCCACAAACCCAAATTGCCTTCCTGATAAGGGCCTTGGGGGACTGGGAGGATGAAGAGAGAGGGTGAGGCAACAAGCAGGCAGATGGGCAGAAATGTGCTACAGACCCTTGTATTACCTCCCCATCTTCCCACCTCCCACCCCCACAGACAACCCCAAGAAGGGCAGATTGGAAGTAACACAAGAGACACACACAGAGAACTTGAGACACCATAGCCCTACCTTTTTTTTTTTATAGAGGAGCTGTTTACATAGCTGAACTCAAAAGAGGCTTAAAAAAAAAAATCAACCACCCTCCTGAAACATGCCTATGAGGTAAGAATGTGTCAACACATAGAGGTTTAGTAACTGACCTGCAGTCACACAGGGAGGACAGGGAACACAATCTCTGGCCCAATTCTTCTACCCTCTATCCAAAAGAAACCAAGCATTGGGTTTAGATCAGGAAAGACCTGGGTTTGAATTCTACCTCCACCACTTTGTGACCAAGTGCCAGAGGATCAAGGATTTGGAGCTGGAAGGGACTTCAGATGCCATTTCATTTTACAAATGGAAGAAAATGAGGTCCAGGGAGGCTTAGTGGACAGTCCCAGGCTACACAGGTAGTTTCAGAGGGGAGATTTAAAGCCAGTTCCTCTGACTCCTGAGCCAGTAAGTATTCCTTCTACTGTAGCACACTACTTAAGCCACTGAACCTTTCTAAGCCTCTGTTTCCCCATTTTAATAATATGCAGCCTGACCTCTTGGAGACAGAGTGGTCCTCAGGCTCAGGAAAGCCAGAGTTCAAGTTCTCTGACATATCCAGGCTGTGAGACGCTGAGCCAATCACTTAAATTAAAGCCAGGAAGCTAAAACTTTACATTGCAAAACAGTTGCCTGCCCATGCAGGAAGAGGGAGTTTTCTCTCAAGAGCTCCCCAAACCAATGAAATTAAACACAGGTCCTGACCAGTACCTACCTCAGGGGGTGGTTGAGAAGATCTAGTGAGATAATGAATGTAAAGATAAATGCACACGTAAAGGGCTCTGTAAACGCTAAAGTGGTATGTAAATGGAGGCTCTTATTTTTATTATTCTACTAGACTGGATGAGTACTAGCTACTCCCAGACACTACTCTGCCCCTCTTCAGTCACTGTACCCCAAGCCTGGAACAGGCTCCTCTGCCTCCACCCCTGCCCCAGCCCCTTACACCAAAATCTGTTGAAATCTGTGTCTTCCTTCAAAGTTCAACTCAGGTGCCACCACCCTCAGAAAGTCTTCTCTAAGCTCCTCTCTCTTGCCATAGAGGTGGACCCTTCCTTCCCAGAGGCTCTCAGGGCACTCTGACACTTTCAATGCATAACTCATAGGCAAGCTGCTGTTATACCAAGAAGGATTGTCTCACTCCCTCTACCACATTGTAGTAAGTTTTTTTAAAACTGAAGGTTGTGTTACTCTCCATCATTATAGTCCTGTGCCTAGCTTAATGTCTGCTACATAGTAGGTTTTTAATAAATATTTGTTGGGTTGAAATTAAGATAATTGATTTGAATCTATGGCCTTTCAGGTCTGCCATTCCATTGTCCAAACACCCTTCCAGTTCTAATATGCAAAGACTCTATGATCTTTCAATTCAATTCAACTTTTATTAAATTCCTACCATGTGCAGAGTACTATGCCAAGCACTAGAAAAGATCCAAGGTTTGTATAAGATACAGTCCTGATCTTATAGATCTCATAGTCCCCAGGAATCTTGGGTTCTTATATAATGGATTCCCTTGGTGTCGTTCTGCTGTTTTTTTAGTTCTGTCCAACTCTTCTTGACTCCATTCGGGGTTTTCTTGGCAGAGATACTGGAGTGGTTTGCTATTTCTTCTCCAGCTCATTTTACAGATGAGGAAACTGAGGCAAACAGGGTGAAGTGACTTGCCCAGAGTCACCCAGCTCGTAAGTGTCTGAGGCAGGATTTGAACTCATGAGGACGAGTCTTCCCAATTCCCAGCCCAGTGCTGTATCCACTGCGCCACCTTGTGGATTCCGTAGTTGATATTCCTTGATCTTGGGTGATAGGTTGTTCCTTTGGGAAAACAGGATTCACAATACAGCAGTAAGATAGAGTCTTTGACACATGGACCTACGTCTATACAAAAAAGTCAATTACCTAAAATTCTGATTTTACTCCATTCCAGAGGGCCGAAAATTGTGACCCACAATTGTAAAGTGGAAGACAGCCATTGGAGAAAGAGAGAGACCAGTATCCCTGGAACCTAGGATTCCTCAAGCTCCAGTCTGGTCATTTATAACACTATACCTACCCACCCCCACCCCTGCTTGATGAGGATTTGCTGAAGAACCCAGTTTGACATAGATAGATAGATAACATATTTATTAAATGCATGGGCAGCTAAGTGGTACAGTGTATAGAGCACTAAGGCCTGGAGCCAGGAATATACCTGAGTTCAAATCTAGCCTCAGACATTTACCAGCTGGGTGACCCTGGGCAAGCCACTTCACCCTGTTTGCCTCAGTTTCCTCATCAGTAAAATCAGCTGGAGAAGGAAATGGCAAACCACTTCAGTATCTTTGCCAAGAAAACCCCAAATGGGAGTCACAGAGAGTCAGAAACATCTGAACAATAAAATTAAATGGCACTGTGACAAGTTCTGGGGATGCAGAAAGACAGCCCCAGTCCTCATGGACTTTATATCCAATAGGGAAGACAATACATAAATAGATGCTAGAAAGGGGGTATCTTCACCTTTTGAGGACATAATGAAGAGATGGCCTAGAAGTGGCCTGGAGGCCAGGACCCAGGAAAGTCAAGGCAATAGTTCACCTGTCAGAGCCAGGGGACCCAGAGGTAGAGTCCAAGTTTCTGGTAGGAGGGAAATAAGGATGATAGCCAGAAAGGAGGCAGCAGGACTATTGTGGTCCTAAATTCCTTTTCATAATACATATATTGTCTTGATAATCTTTTTTCTGGTGGCTGCCTGGAAAGGCCTAGCTGGGTTCTTTCTTTCAGGGCCTCAAGGCCTTAAAGCCAAGTGCTGAGAAGATCTCCAGGGTGGATATAAAGATGCTGGAATGACTTTAGCTAAAGGCTTGAGGTAGAAGGCTGGAGGCTGATCACCTAGATGCCTGGAAGTTGGGATTTTTCAGGAAAACATAGAGGGGGGCTGGTAGAAAAGCCAAAAAAGCAGGAATAATTGAGCAATTTGTAAACTCAGGGATGTCAGGGAAAATCATAACTAGCGGCCAGCCTCTGTTTACTCCTTTGTAAAATAGGGGATTAGACTATATAGGCTCTAAGAACTCTTTGAACTCATACATTCTGTGTTTCTTCTGTATGAGTAGAAAGAAGCCTAAAGACAGGGTCTTAACCAATGCAGGAATCTGATGAAAGGTCACTAAGGGAAGGGGAGTGGTTTTGTTAAACTCACCCCCTCACCACCTCTTTCTCTCCTAGCTGTCCCTCTATCTGTGGTTTGGGTTTTAACCCAGTAGGATGACAGGGACCCCGTGTTAGAATGACTCAACAACAGGGGGGGCATGTAGTCATCAGGAAGCCCCCAAAAGACCCAGAATCCCCCAAATCCTAGCCAAGCAAAACAGCTCTCCGGCTTCCAGGGGCCAGCCGTCAACCTGAGACGTCAACCTGAGTGGCTATCAAAACACTGATCTTTTGGCGCCCTCTGCTGGCCCCTGCCGGGCAGATGGGTCAGTCCAGAAGGTAAAGTGCCCCTTTCTAATGCTGGAGAGACAGAAATGTTGAACAGGCGACTAGGTGGTGTAGTGGATAGAGGGCCAGGCCTGGAGTCAGGAAGAATCATCTTCCTGAAGTTCAAATCTGGCCTCAGACACTTAATAGCTAAGTGATCCTAGGCAAGTTACTTAACCCTATTTGCCTCATTTTCCTCATCTATAAAACTGAGCTGGAAAAGGAAATGGCAAACCACTCCACTATCTCTGAACGACAACATATATTTGTCCGAGTTGAAAAGGTCTTTAGAGACCCTAGCCCAGACCTGTCATTGCACATATGGAGAAAGTGAGGCACATTTCCATGGTCTCTCAGCTAGTAAACAATAGAGCCAGACCCATCTTTCAGTGTTCGTGTGACTTGGAATGTCCTCTCTACTCTTCTCTTCTGTGAATTGTCTCATAGAAACCTTAGCTTCCTTCAAAAGTCAAGTGCTATCACTACATGAAGTCTTTTTTGGTGTCCCTCAGCTACTATTCTCTCTTCTTCCTCTTCCCAAACAAAATGACCTTGGACTTATTTTGTCTCCCCAAACAAAATGACTTTGGATTTATTTTGTATGTATACTTTTACATGCAAATGTCTCTCCCAATAGAAGATAGGTTTTTTGAGGGCAGAGATAGACTGGGCCTGTGGTTTCACTGAAATACAGGGTACTATATTATATATGCAGGGCACAGAGATACAACAATAAAATAAGGCACCGCATTTGAACATAAGGAACTTAAAATCTAGAGGATAGGAAGGAAAAGAATCAGCTATAATAGTCAATCATTAAAAATTAAAGCACTTACTATGTGTCAGGCACTGAACTAAGTGCTGAGGATATAAAACAGGCAAAATACAGTCGCTGCCCTCAAGGAGCTCACAGTCTATTGGGGGAGACATACTATTATGCTATGAGATTTGAGGAGGAAGAGATCACTGGAAAGGAGGGGGAGATAAGAGAATGGTTCATAGAAAATATGGGACTTCAGCTATTTCACTGGGCTTAAAAAGAGAGAGAGAAAGAAAGAAAAAAGAAGGGTTTCAATAGCCAGGATCTGTTCCAGGCATGGGCAAGAGCCTATAATAATAACTAGCATTTATTTAGCATTTTAAGGTTTTCACTCAACTCACTTGATTCTCACAACAATTCTGGGAGGTAGGTGCTATTATTTTCATGCCCATTTTACAGATGAGGAAACAGGTAGGAGAGGTTTAGTGATTCACCGATGAGTTATACAAGCTGGTAGGTGTCTGAACTTTACATCCTTAAGTAATTTGGGGGAGGGTGAGAGCACTAACAGCTGGTGCTTTGTAGGAGGTGAGCCTCGAAGGGAGCTTGGGATTCCAAGAGGCAGAGTTCCACTGGCAGTTGTTGCTGTCATTTTAAAAATCCCCGTGGCCTAGGTTTCCAGATCTGAAAAAGCAAAAGGGAAGCAGGAGGGGCCAAGCATGTGCCCAAGTTACACAGTGCAGCCCAGTAGCTAGGACCTTCCCCTGCAGGAGAATAGGACAGAGTGACCAATTCCAGGACCAGGGGCAGCTGGGAGCTGTTGGGTCTCTGGGGATTCCTAAGCCTTCCTGCTGTTGGCTGACTGTGCTCGTGACCCTCCAAGTGGCTTGCTGTGGCTCAGACGCTCCACACCCTCAATCTGTTAGTAGGCACTTAGTGAGCTCCCGGTATGCCCTAAGAACAGGAAGTCCTGGTTGTTCCATGTCTCCCCCACCCCCACCCCATCCATCCCCAGCCTAGTCCTGACCACACCTCCTGCTGCTGCTCTCTTCTTCTGGGGCCTTCCAGAAGGCAAAAGGGAGCAAAGATTAGACAGAGTACCTGCAGGTGGGCCAGACACCAGACCACCTCCATGGTACTTCTGCCTTCCTCTCCTGGGTATTTCTAACCTTGGTTCTGACAACCAGCTGTGTGACTATCCTTGGGTATATCAAGACTGCTAGACGGCAAACAGTTCATGTACAAAAAAAGACCTGGAGGGGACAGGGCAGGTGCTAGTGGGTTGTAAGCTCAGGATGAGGCAACAGTGTCATTGAGGGATTGTAAATGTAATCATCAGCTGTATGGATGGAAGTAGACTATCCAGAGTGAGGGAGGTGATACTCCTGCTCTTCTCTCCCCTGGTAAGACCACAGCCAATCAGTAAGCATTTGTGAAGTGTCTACTATGTGCGAGGCATTGTGCCGAGCACTGGGGATGTGCAAACAACTATATGTAAACAAGATAGATGCAGGATAAATTGGGGATAATCAATAGAATCATTGGGTGATGAAAAAAATGTGAACAGTCAGTGTTGGAGGGGCTGTGGGAAGACACAGACATGATATACATACTGCTTTTGATGAAGCTATTAAGTAATCCAACCAATCTGGACTTCAATTTAGAATTATGCAAGAAAAGTGATTAAAAGTGATCCTTTGACCCAGGGATCCCACTCCTAGGCACACAATCCAAGGAAGTCAGACAGAAACAAAGGTATAATATATATCTGGGCAGCTAGGTGGCACAGAGTACCAGGCCGGAAATCAGGAAGATTCAACTTCCTGAGTTCAAATCTGGCCTCAGACACTTATGAGCTGGATGATCCTGGGCAAGTCACTTCACCCTGTTTGCCTCAGTTTCCTCATTTGTAAAATGAGCTGGAAAAGGAAATGGCAAACCACTCTAGTGTCTTTGTCAAGAAAACCCCACCACAAAGAGTCAGACGTGAGTGAAAAACGACTGAACAAAAACAATATATACCAAAATACCAGAAACCCTTTTTTGTGGTAGCAAAGAACTAGAAATAAAGTAGATACCCATCAACTAGGGAATGGTTGAATAAACTATGGCATATGAATATAACAGACTATCATTCTGCAGTAAGAAAAAAAAGATAACTATGAGGAATTAGAGAAACACGGGAAGATTTCTATAAACTAATGCAAGCACAAGTAGAACCAAGAGGACAATACACACGATGACTACAATGATGTAAACAAAAAGTTAACCACAAGGAAGACTACCTCTGAGTCCTTCCCCCAGTTATCACCACCCACTGAACCACTCACTGCCTTTGGTTTCTGCCCATCTGGTCTATTCTACCAAAGAGTTCTGGGGCGGCTAGGTGGCACA